AGTTTCGTTTTCGTAATGTAAAGCAATGCATGAAAAATATAAAGAATGAGCAGATCAAAAGAAAACTCTAAAGAATAACGGGAAAAGGTCCAAATTGCTTGTGTACTAGTATTTGAAATGGTTTAATTTTGTCCTCCATTAGATTTTAGTCCATTTATAATTTTTTTCGTTTGCAAATTATCTTATATTTGTCATTACCATTAATAGAATGCCAACGTGAAATGAGTGGACTCCATATATCTAATTTTTTTAGAAAAAAAAAACTAAATTTACATCTCTAACTTTTGAATATGATTCCCTCATGTTAGAGATTGTTAGAGTTAAACGGCAAATACGAGACTTTTTTCTAATGGCAAGGATACTATAGAACCAAAAATCACAAAATTAATCAATTTCGGAAGATGTTTAATTGGTGAATGTTTTGACTAGCGACATATTAGATTGTGGGTCTTCCAAAATCAATCAATTATCCACCAAGAATCTTTAGTACGTAGCCACAACCCAGAATATTTAAATGTAAAGTGTGGCTCAATATTTCTTTTGGGACGTTGAAGAAAGTTGACTTGCATGACATAATGGAAAGTGGTTGAGTGTTATATGTTATCATTGGCTAATACTCCACACCATTCAGTTAACAACTTCTCCTTTTCTATAATTCTTGCTTATCTACAATTTCGTCGTTAGTTTGTCAACGGGACACCAATATCCAGCTAAATATTGTTCTTTCAGTAGGTCAACAATGTTCCTGTATTTTCTGATCTTTAAATGAAAAAAGAAAATACAAGAAAAGAGGGGAAAAATGTAAAATATATGTATAAAATTAACTGCTGCGATAATTTCAAGAGCATGAGACTTGAATGGCAGAAAATTATATATGGATATGGCAAGTAATAATTCAAAACAAAGTAAGCCAAATGGACATGCAGAAGGCAGATGTTATTCCCATAGCATAAGTCGAATTGGAATATAAATGTAATTAGTCCTCTTCCCTTTTCTTTTGGCGTATATGTATGAATTCTTAATTGAATGAGCTCTGTTTACCCTTTAAACGAATTACAATAAAATTTGTACGTGGTTTAAATGACACATGGTTTAATTTAACATAAATGATAAAAAAGAAGTAATTGAATTGAGATAACACGACAAAACTAAATGTGGCGAAGTAATTAAGCCTTGAATTAGGCTTAAATGCTAACGGTCGGTTTGGGTCGAGCCCTCGAAATAAAGCTCGGTTCCAACTAAATGGATGAACAGTTGAGGAGCACTTAAACAATTGGTAAAAGTCAAAATAAACTTTATTACTTTGATATGCGTGCCAATATTGACCCAAAAATGAAATAGTTCTCCTCTTTATCTAGTGGAGGAGTTTTAACCCTAATACAAGTCTAAATAAGGTAAAAATCTTTTCTTTCCCTTTTTCCATGAAAATATGATCTGTAGCCAGTACCGAGCGTGATCCATGCCGCAATATCCGGCTGATGGCGGATATTTTGGCTCCCCGTTTTGTCTCTTTTAACCGTCTTTCCTTTACCCTCGATCTTTCATCTTACTCGAGCTTGATTCTTTTCGGGTTCATCCATGCCCGAGATCCGTCGTATCGTTCTTCCCTGGTTCTGATCTATGGGTGTCACGACCCGAAATTTCCACCTTCGGACCGTGATGACGCCTAACATGTCACTTTCTAGGCAAACCAACGTTAGAATAATATTATCTATTTTAAAATAATTTTTAAATGTATTAATAACAAGAAAATAAATGCGGAAGCAAAGTTTGAAATATAGTGAAATAATCCATCAAACAACGATGTCTAAATACCATCCCAGAATTGGTGTCACAAGTGCACGAGCTTCTAGAATAAATACAAATAAAGGTCTGAATAAAATAAAGCTGTCTCGAAATAAACACACAGCTAGGGTACAATAGACGAGGACTTCAGAACTACGAACGCCATACAGTTATACCTCAAGTCTCCTCTGATAGCTGAAATCCGAGCAAGTCTATGGTACGCCGCTGGGACTAACTCCAAAATCTGCACAAGAAGTGCAGAGTGTAGTATCAGTACAACCGACCCCATGTACTGGTAAGTGCTGAGCCTAACCTCCACGAAGTAGTGACGAGGCTAAGGCAGTTCACTTACATTAACCTTTACGCAATGTTGATAATAACAACAAATAATATAAATAAATCAAGTAACTCATTTAGAATAATTGAAACTAACTCAGCAGTCATAACTAATTATCATTTTCATCAATTCTGTTGCAGCGTGCAACCCGCTCTCACAATATATCCACATTCAGTTCTGTTACGATGTGCAACCCGCTCCTCCAATATATTCATTTTAATCAAGTCTATTGCGACGTGCAACCCGATCCTCCAATATATTCATTATAATCAATCCTGTTGCGGCGTGCAACCCGCTCCTCCAGTATGTTCATTTTAATCAAGTCTATTGCGACGTGCAACCCGATCCTCCAATATATTCATTATAATCAATCCTGTTGCGGCGTGCAACCCGCTCCTCCAGTATGTTCATTTTAATCAAGTCTATTGCGACGTGCAACCCGATCCTCCAATATATTCATTATAATCAATCCTGTTGCGGCGTGCAACCCGCTCCTCCAGTATGTTCATTTTAATCAAGTCTATTGCGACGTGCAACCCGATCCTCCAATATATTCATTATAATCAATCCTGTTGCGGCGTGCAACCCGCTCCTCCAACATTTTCATTTACCAATTCTTATAGAAGAAAATTTTCCAATAAATGTAACAATTGATATAGAATTTCAAGACAACAAGCATACAATAATTATGATTTAATTATGAAGCAAACAATGACAAATAGCAAATTATTATGGAAATCAGGGAGCAAATAGACAGTTTAATATTTAATATGCTAAATGTTAAATAGCAATTATGGCACATAATTCAAATAGCATGTAACAATTAATGC